GAGTTTTAGGAAGAGCAACCAGCTGCTTACTATGAGCTCCCAGTGAAACAGAAAACTGCAGTCTTGGCAAAGCTGTGACCTGTGGCTAATACAAAGACAACCTACTCAAGCAACATATTATATAAACCAGTGCGATGTTATTTCATAGCAGCAGAGAACTATGAGCTCAGTTTGAAGGATGGAGAGACAAAAGATTGGAATTGCTTTTAGCTTTTAACTCCTACAAGAGGCACATTCAAAGACAAGCATATCATATTCAAAATAAGGCTTTCTCTTCCCTCCCCTTAGCTCCCAGAGACCTGATGAGGGCTCAGTTATCATTCCTTGTCCTGCAAGCAACCCTAACCAGCTCACTGGGACACATGTTTTTCTTGGGTCTATCTGCTTTTCTTGTGTGTCTGTGTTTTAGACTGCATGTGCACAATCGCATTTCTTTGAAATGAAATTGCTCTCCCCTCTTTATATATTTTTATATATTTATATATTGTTGTTTTGAGCTTTGTTACATCATTTGCTACAGTGCTACAATACCATTTTCTACAACTGCTTTCTACTGATGAATTCAAGAGCTACCACCTACAATTCATCACGTGTAGAGCGAAGGAACAGAACTGATGATTTTATGAATTCCAAATTAAGACATGTATATGCATCATTAATTGCTAATGCATTTTGAAAAACTGCAGCTTCTGAAAGGTAGTTATCACTTTAGTTAAATTCCTGATAGTGACAAGTTGCAAGCTTTTGTAGTATTTTTGGAGAATTTCAGAGTGCAGCAGGCGAGATTTTTTCCCTTTTTTTTCCCCCCTTTTTCTATTTTTGTTTGTTGGTTTTTTCTTTCTTCTCCTTAACATCAGATTAGCTTAATCATGGAGAGCACCAGGCCAATGGCTTCATTTTCGGAACTGGCCCCCTCTCTTATGAAAGTTGTATCCTGGAGAACTGGAGCAATTTTCCAGCATAGAATAGTGAAGGTTCTAAAGAAAATGTGTCACCAGACTTGATCAATTCATGTTTGCAAATCATTACTATCCTGTGCTAAGTCTCCCATTCCAAAAAACACTAATGCACAAGTGGAGACTAAATACAGTTAGAATTTTTAGTATGTTGATCATATCTGCTACATATCTTTTTTACAGTTCTGTTACCTTTATCCTGATCCACCTCTCTATTTCTCTGAAAACTCCCCAATGCTTTGTTTATACTCCTTTCCCATATCATAAATGTTCAAGGTACCATTATGAGCTGTTGAGCTGTTAGTGCAAAGGATCCACCTGCTCTCTGCATGTGTCCCTGCCTCCCCCTCACCACACTTTTTTCATATTATAAAGCACACAACAGTCATTCATCAGGAGGGACTATCTGATAGTATGAAAGGTGAAATGATTGATGACTTGAATAACTTCAATTTGTGAGGCCTCTAAGAAGGAGGATAGTCCGTAAGGAGAGTGATCACTCTAAGTGCTCAGATTTAAGCAAAACTTGAAAATCTATACGGTATTCCTCCATAGATGTTAGCATGATATGCACAAATTGCAAGATTAATCCATGCTATAATCACAAAAATAAGGAAGGTTGACTTTTGTGACTCAGCCTTTCGAGAAATGCCAAAAAGGATCAAATAACAAGAAAACAAACAAAAGTGCAATTTTCCAGTACACTTCAGAAACAATGCTAACCTTCAATTAGCTGAATGTAAACATTGCAAGAGAGTATTCCTAATCTTTCTGGCTCATGTAAAGATAGTAGAGCACTTGGGACACTCCCCAAGAACTAGATTCTAGCAGATAATATTCTGACAATGTGCTGATAAAGGATATTTGCATGAGAGTTGCCCTATACTTTGCTGAAGTCAACATACTGAATATTAAAATCACTCTCGCACGGAGTTTAAAGGACATACTATGAATGAAATACGCTGGCTACAGTTCAGGTTAGTTATAAAGCCTTTTCTCTTAAATTAAAAAAAAAGAAAAAAAGTGTCTGTTCATGACTAAAATGATTTTCCTGTTTTCCTTAGTCCTGCCAGTGCTGGCCTTCCCAGGATATCTCCAGAGTAGAGGAAACAGATTTATTTTTGTTTATAACAATCATCTGTGTGTGCGTGCACACACTTATTTAAATGAATTTGGCAGAGAATGACCTTTTCAAGGTCATTGAGAGAAGTGATTACTACACAAGTTCCAATTAAAATGAGTAGGAGATCACTGTCTTGCTAAGACAGGCTACTTTGATAATCTCAGTTTAGACTTGCAAAAACTTGCCCAGACAAAACAGGACTCTCCATCTCCACAGTCAGTGCCTGAACATTGTAATAAGGTGAGCAGCACTGTCAGGCTAGTTCTTGCTGTTTAACTTGTTATCTACATAACAATGAGCAGACTGTGAGTTCACCCAGCAGTGCAGGCTCTGTCTACATGGAAATTGAATGTGGTACAGCCAATATTGATTATTTGCTTGAGGACTGAGCAGCAATTATTTTATAAATATGTGTGTGTATATAATATAAATATGATTTTTGTCCCGTATGTTCTGGGAGGTTTAGCCTTAGGCAAAATAGAAAGTTCTTACCCTTGTGAAATTATTAGATTTATCAAGCTGGATGGACCTGGAATGAATGACACTGAAAACCATAGTAGAATTATTTCAGAGTATATAGTATTTTAAATACTAGAGCATTCTGATTACCAATACTTTATATCTTTAACACATCAGAAACAACATTTAAGGGTTATTCATAAAAGGCTTCTTGGTTGAAATTACAGGGTAAAAACCTTAATTCACCACAGTGTCCCAGTATCTGTGCAGAACTGCGCTTTTTGCAGCACAGACAGCAGAGCCCCCCTACCTGCACTTCCCTGAGCACCTCCCAAAGCTCTTGGGAGCCCTCTGGGCTCTTGACTGCTACAGAGAGGGCAGTCCCTGTGTAACTGTATCCCCTTTCCTCCTGCACACATATTCCTATATCAATTTCCTATATCTGTTGTGCATACGGGTGCCTTCATAAATCTTTCTGGTTATTGTTTTGCGTTATAGTTGCTGGTTTTGCTCTGTAAAAAACAGAGTCTTAACTAATGTTTTACTTCTGACTGGAGGCTGACAGCAAGGTCCTAACGGCTCAAGGACACATCCCAATTTCATAAAAAGGAGGTTTAAAGTGTTTGAACAGGGCTAAGAAACATATTTGCTGCTTTCCAAGCAGATATTGCAAAAGGATGAAGATGAAGATTCTTTATATTAGTATGAGTTCTCAAAATAAAAAACCTAACTCGGTCAAAGTGAAAATAAAATAATAGAAAAAAAAAACCCAGACGAAAACAGCTGAGTTCTTCTTGTAAAACTTGATATCTGTTTAGTTTAATGTCCCTGTGTTAAATGGAAACGGAACATTGATCCATTTTTCCATTTGCCAAACTCAGTAAGAATCCACAATCACCCAGGCGCAGAATCACAAAATCACAGAATGGTTGAGGCTGGAAGGGACCTCTAGAGATCATCTAGTCCAACCCTCCTGCTCCAGCAGGGACACCAGGAGCATGAGGCACAGGGTGCCACCCAAGCAGATTTGGAAGGTCTCCACAGCCTCTCTGGGCAGCCTGTTCCAGGGCTCTGTCACCTTCACAGGAAAGAAGTTCTTCCTCACATGGAGATGGAACTTCCTGTGTTTCAACTTGTACTTGTTACCCCTCATCCTGCCACTCACCACCGAGAAGAGTGGGGCCCCATCCTCTCTACATTCACCCCTCAGGTATTTGTACATATTGATTAGATCCCCTCTCAGTCTTCCCTTCTCTAGGCTAAAAAGGCCTAGCTTGCTTAGTCTTTCCTCATAAGAATGATTTTTTTTTTAGAGTTAAAATGTCAAGCTCCTACAAAGTACTTTGGTGCATATGAAATTGTGTTTAATGAAAGTATAAATTATGCAAATATTATTTTTGTTGAAAAGTAATGCTTACTAGGTTGACTAGCTCTCTACCTGAAGCCAGGGAATTAATAAATTCAGAACACTGGTTTCTAATGCTAATCTTTAAAGGCATCAGGAGAAATCCTGCTTTATTTAGTACCTGATAAGTAAAAAGATAACCTGAGGGGGAGGGTGAGATTATTTCAAAATGTGTGCTTTCCATTACATTTCAAGATGTTGACAACAAATGGATCTCTTGCTTCCTCAGTAGGAAATATTCCTAGGACATGATGCCCCCGATTTTAGTGTGTTCTCAAAGTTTCATTTCATCTCTTGGAAAAAAAAAAAAAAAGAGTGAAAGAGGAAGAAGAAAAGACACTTAGCTGTCCTCTCAGTGATGCCAAACCTGCTTGGTAAATGTAAGAAAAAACATATGCATGTGTTTATAAATGTACGTGCATGCGAAAAAAAGCTGATGATTCACACATAGCAGCAACTATTATATTAAAGGGAGAAAAAAAAATCTGTCCATGACCAATCAGCATTTTCTTTCCTTTCTTCCTTTCTTCCTTCTAAAAAACTATAGGAGCCACCAAAAGAAAAAAAAATAGAGTTTGAAGGAGAAAATATACGGCAGAAATTATTTAAATAAACCCGATATAGGCCGTTATACGGACCTATGATTATAATAATAAATGAGGAAAAACGCTGGAAAGATAGAAACCAGAAAGAGGGCCGGGGAGAGAGCAGAGCGAGGACGCCGGGCGAGGCGCCGC